TTTTTTTTTTTTTTTTTCATTTTGCTTTGATCAGATAGTGGGAGAGTGAGAGCGGTCAAAAACAAGATTCTTGCAGTTTCATGGTATGCATCTTATGTAGCCACTGTGCCACGAGGACGCCCCATCTGTGGTACTCTAAATGTAAGGTGCACTTACTGTAGCTATTCTCTCAGCTGTTGTATTCAGCGACTGTCTTATTCTGGTCCTCTGTGGGATACAGTTGAAAGCTCCAGCATATGTAAATGGGCCTTTATGTTTAGAATATTTACCACAAATATGTTTAAAATGCGCTGTACAATAACACATTTTCTAGAGACAGTGCCTGCAGCTGTACGGCAGAGGGATGGTAGTTGGTTTTCAGGAAAGAGAAAAGAAACAAAAAACATAATATGATGAGAAAACTACTACTTTAAGAAGAAAACATTCATTCATGTCAGAAAACTGTTTGTTTGAAGACTGTCCGTATGAATCCTGCAGGCTGTATACAGTATATAAACATGTACACATGCACATACAAACTCATCCAGTCCATGTACATTCAGTATTTATGTTTGTACACTAACTGTGTAGTGTACAACCTACAGACACTTTAATTGTACGTAAACCTTTTATTTTTATGCCTCTGTTCCATTGATAGCTGTGGCTGGAGACATTATGTTTTCAAGTTATCTGCCCGTCCCTCTGTCCTATTCTCGTGAATTTCAATTCTCAAGAATGCCTTTCAGAGAATTTCTTCAAATTTGGCAGAAACATCCACTTTGAGTAAAAGATGACCTGATCAGAATTTTGGGACCATAGGTTCACTGTGAGCTTGCATCAGTTTCATTCTCGTGAACATGATATTTCAAGAGCACCTTAAGGGGAATTTCTTCAGATTTGGCACAAACATCCCCAAAGACTCAACTATGAACTGATTAGAACTTGGTGGTCAAAGGTCACAGTTACCCCAACTTCGTCTGACTCATTCTTGTGAATGCGATTTTTCAATAACGCCTTGAGGAAATTTGTCAAAATTTGGCACAAATGTCCATTTGGGTTCATATTGAACTGATTAGATTTTGGTGGTCCAACTTCATGGTCACTGTGACTTTGCATCCATCTCTTTCTTGTTAATGCAATATCTTAAGAAGGCCTTGAGGGAATTTCTTCAAATTTGGCACAAACATCCAACAATGGACTCCACTCCAGTCCATCCTGGACTCAACAATGAAGTGATTGGAATCAGGTGGTCAAAGATGAAGGTTACTGTGACGTCATCTGACTCCGATTCTCGTGAATACAATACCTTGAGCAGATTGCAGGAATTTCTCCAATGGGAACAAACATCTACTTGGACTCAACACTGAACAGATTAGATTTTGGTGGTTGTAGGTTAAAGGTCAGGGTCACTGTGACCTTGCATCCATCTTATTCTCGTGAAAACGATATCTCAGGAACACTTTGAGAGAATTTCTCCAAATTTGGCACCAACATCCACTTGGACTCAACTATGAACTGATTCGACTTTTGTGGTCCGAGTTCAATGTCATTGTGACCTTGCATCCGTCTCATTCTTGTGAACACAATATCGTAAAAAGGCCTTGAGGGAATTTCTTCAAATTCGGCTCAAGCGTCCAACTGGACTCAACAATGAACTGATTAGAATCTGGTGGTCAAAGATGAAGGTTACTGTGACGTTGTCCGACTCATTCTCGTGAACGCAATACCTCAGGAGCACATTGCGAGAATTTCTCCAATGGGAACAAACATCTACTTGGACTCAATAATGAGCTGATTAGACTTTGGTGGTCGTAGGTTAAAGGTCAGGGTCACTATGACCTTGCATCCATCTTATGCTTGTGAAAACGATATCTCAAGAACACCTTGAGAGAATTTCTTAAAATATGGCACAAACATCCACTTTGACTGAATTGTAGATCAAAGGTCAAAGGTCACTGTGGCCTCACAAAACATGTTTTGAGCCACAACTCAAGAATTCATGGCTAATTATGACAAAAGTTCACAGAAATGTCTAACAGGATAAAATGATGAAGTGATGACATTTCATATCTAAAAGGTCAAAGGTCAGCTTCACTTTGACATCATAATGTTCTGCATGATCTCTTTTCTGATAATTATACAACGTCATATCTCGGGAACAGAAGGGGAGACATTTGGTCAGATACTGAATTGGTGACACTAATCTTGGGTGTCCACCTTATTTGCCCACCCATTTATATAAACCCATATTCTTTCACATACTTGTGAACATAATGGTCCTGTCTGTCTTGTACTTTTATCCACCATGCTTTGTTGGACTTGTTCCCAGCTGTTTATTTACAGTATGTGTAAGTATGTTGAGGGAAATACAGAAACAACGGTTAAATTCCTTGCATGTGTAAGCATATTATCAATAAAAGTGACTCTGATTCTTAAATACAGCTCAGTTAGGAAACTTGACTTTTCCGATGTCTCTCTGCAGGTCCCACATGCCTCCTCACACACCTCAGTGTGAGAATAACTGTCCCGTTTGGCACGTTGATCCCAGCGTGAAAGCTGCTGTGATCACACCGCGACTGCTGCAGCTCTCCAACCCCAAACTGAACCATCCAGATTTCCAGAGCAACAGAGAGGTGAGATCCTACAGCACTTACAGACTGAGTAAACCCTACAGGCAGTGTGTTAATAGAGAAAGTCATCTGACAGGTTGCATCAGCATTGTTGTACTGATTAAATAGATTTTAAATGGACTCCAACAGAGAAGATTTTTGACCCTGTCAGTTTGCCTTACTGTTAAAAGCTTCTCTCCTCCAGTTTTCAACAATCAGTGAGGGCTGTTCAGTTGCAGTCACTGGATTCACAGTATATTTGCATGAATGTAATGAAGTATCTTTATTTTCAGTTATTAAATTCATAGGATTATCTGAAAACACATTCTCCTCTCAGTTCTCCTCAAATTAGAATTACAGAAAAAGCACTTTATATTGCAGTACATATTGATATTATGATAAAAAAAATATATATATACACTGTAGTAGAGAATGAATCACGTAGCGTATGTCAGGAATGATGAGGATTTGAAATAGGATTTTTAACAAATCTAAACCTCCCTCAGCCAGTTTTTCTTCAACTGATGGTTTAGGACCAAGTCATCTCAATAGATCTTAACCACAAAGTCGTATGAAGTCTGAATTCCCTCCGTCTGTCTGTGCACCACAGAGCATTGAATCCGTGGTCTCCTTTGCTTCCAAGACGGCTCGAATCTCTCAGCGACTGGTCCAGCTGTCACTGCCCAGACTGAAGCAGAGCAACATCTGCCTGGAGCTCGGACACCCAGTGGAATCAATCTGGACTGTAAGAACACCTACTGATAAATCATCTCAGTGTTTATTGGTACAGTTTGTTTTAAAAGCTCCTGAACAGTGTAGAACTCAAGATCAAGTCGTTCTTGAACTCTTTCAGAATAGTCTTGGCTGAAACACTTCGACACAGTGAGAACAGTTCTCTCTGCGTGTCTGTAAGTTTGACATCAAACAGTCAATTAAAATATTTTCCAGCTGTTTAAACCAGCTCTCTGTCCTAAACTGTAGAGCTGTTCTCACATGATGAGGAGTTCTTTCAATTAGTTGTGGAATTTTCCAATCACTGTCATCAGCCAAATGTGAGTTTGACACATCGTCCGCTTACACGCCATGCCAGACTTTTATTGGCTATATGTCATTATGATCTGTGGTTTTGCACTCTGGCTCATATTTTGACAGATGAAACATTTAACGATGAACAGAAAAATGTGTAATGACCAAAGATCCTTTGGTTGAACTTGAACATGATTAACATCTTTTAAGACATGCTTTCTGGGGTGGTAGTTTCCTAAATTCTCGATGGAACAGCTGTCAGTGCTAAAACTTTGACAAAAGGTCTGTTCCTCTAAAATCAGGTTTCAAAGGCGGCGAGGAGAGCCACAGCGAGTGCTCGTGTTGAAATGCTCGCAACACCAAAACAGCTTTCCAAGGACTACATCCCTCCACGAGAACCAGAGTGGAGCCAGAGAGACGTTCTGTTCTTCTGAACTTCCATCAACATCACAACTAAGTCAGTCCTTTTGTAGTTTGTGAAGATAATTCAGTGTCAGACTAAACCAGCAAAACTTAGATCTTGATTTTTATAAATGATTAAGACAGTAATGATGGTTGTAGACATTAAGCTTCTTCTTTTGCTCCACCAGCCATCAGTGTTTGGAGGGTTACTGTCAAAACATGTTCCTCTATAGATTACTGAATACATGCCCTAAAATATAAACAAGGTAATGTGCTAAAATTGTCTTGATGAGCTCATTTGTCTGGTGCGTGTACACTTACTGGCCACTTTATTAGGTACACCTGTTCAACTGCTTGTTGACGCAAATAGCTATTTGAAGTTCAAACTGAGCATCAGAATGATGAAGAAAGGTGATTTAAGTGACTTTGAATGTAGCATGGTTGTTGGTGCCAATAGTTGGTGGAGTATTTCAGAAACCATCACAACCATCTCTAGGGTTTACAGAGGATGGTCCCAAAAAGAGAAAATATCCAGTGAGCCAAAATGCCTTGTTGATGCCAGAGGTCAGAGGAGAATGGCCAGACTGGTTCAAGATGATAGAAAGGCAACAGGAAGTCAAATAAGCACTGGTTACAACCAAGGTCTGCAGAAGACCATCTCTGAAGCAACAACACCTTGTCCAACCTTGAAGCAGATGGGCTACAGCAGCAGAAGACCACACCAGGTGCCACTCCTGTCAGCTAACAACAGGAAACTGAGGCTACAATTCACACGGGTTTTCTCACCAAAACTGGACAATAGAAGATTGGAAAAACCACATTCAGATGGAAGCATGGATCCATCCTGCCTTGTATCAACGCTTCAGGCTGCTGCTGCTGCTGGTGTAATGGTGTGGGGGAGATTTTCTTAGTACCAACTGAGCATGGTTTAAACACCACAGCCTACCTGAGTATTGTTGCTGTGCGTGTCCATCCCTTTATGACCACAGTGTACCCATCTTCTGATGGCTACTTCCAGCAGTATAACGCACCATGTCACAAAGCTCACATCATCTCAAACATGACAATGAGTTCACTGTACTCCAATGGCCTCCACAGTAACCAGATCTCAGTCCAATAGAGCACCTTTGGGATGTGAAGAAAAAGGAGATTCTCATCATGGATGTGCAGCCGACAAATCTGCAGCAACTGTGTGATGTCATCATGTCAATATTGACCAGCATCTCTGAGGAATGTTTCCAGCACCTTATTGAATCTATGACACCAAGAATTAAGGCAGTTCTGAAGGCAAAATGGATCCAACCTGGTCCAGTACCAAAAATGGAAATGTGTGCCTCATGTGAAATTTACACCATGTCCTAATAGGCAGCGAGCGGCACCATCTATTAACACTGAATGCATTAAATATGCACTTCTGTTACGTCATGTAAACAAATCACGTAGGCTACCCAGCAGCTGTGCGCTTAACTGGAGATGTAACCACTTAAAAGATGGGCAACAAACAAAAAACACATGTTTTATATTGTGATATTTACTGTAAATAACAGACGATATAGCCAGTGGCAGGCAGGTTATTATTAGTGATGGTCATTTACCAGAAACTTTCAGCTCCCTGGTGATCTACCTCCAGCCAGCTGCCACCTTATTTAGGTTTTTGTTTTAAAATGAGGAAGGGTTGTGTAGATAATACTCCACTTCAAATTCGTAAATCAGCCATTCCTCGTCTACTGCGGAGCTTTGACTGTTTTTTTTTTCTCTGTTCTTGAAGGCATCACAGGAGCGCAGTGGCTCGGAGCAGTTGGGCTGAGTGTTCCTGGGGAATAAAAGTTCTCCAGTTGGACTCACCTCTTTCCACTCACCTCCTCCGGCATCGGCACACTTTGGCCTTTGTTTGGTTTTCATTTGCTTTCACTTTACAAAATCTTACACTTCACCCTGTTCACTCACATCTACATCACTGACTCACCTTTGTCACAACAATAATAATAAATTGACTCGTTCTTGGACAAGTGGACATTCGAGAAACTGCAGTTTTTGGCACTTCCACATTGGCTTTGTCTTTCACCCCTAGACACTGGTGCTTGGGTGGGAATGAAATGTGTAAAAATTATGTGCAGGCAAAATGAAAACAACACCAGTGCAAAGCGATGTGGATTTTTTGTTATGGTGGATGCACGATTTAAGTATAAAGAGCAAGAAAGTTTGTGTAGGGTGAGCAGGTCAAACAAACATGGACTTTAAACCAGTAGTCCCATGTATTTGTGTCCCATGTGAAACCAAAGGTCAACCACGCAAAGTACGCAAATTTTTGTCACTTGTGCCCATACGTAGTTTTTTCAACCGAAACCCTGACAAAGTATTTTTTGTTCTCTAAACTGTTTCCAAACATTAACGTTAAGGGCGGCAATAGCTCTGCTGTAGCTGTTGCATTCAGTTAGGACACTTTGTTAATGTAAATAAAACAAAAACAAAGAAAGTAATCTCTTCCAGTAATCTATTTTCAAAGACAGTAACTGTATTCAGATTATCTGTCGGCGAGCAGTGATGCACTAAAACACCAAAAAATGCCAAAAAGGAAAAGTCAAAAGTCGATAAAAATGAGAAACAAACACACAAACACAGCAGAATCTACTAACAGGATTTAAATGGTGGCATGAAAATAAACTTAAGCAAATGAATATTAGTAAATCTGCCATTAGTTTAATATGTTAAAATCCCAAACTTGAGACGTCTGGAGAGGAAACGTGAGTGAGAACAACCCAGCAGCATCTGTTTCTTTTCAGTTCTGTTGGGTCGTCTGTTGATATCGTTACCATGTGTATAAAAGCTTGAACAAAAAGTTTTGGAGTGGATGTTAGGCAATGAAAGATTGACGGTTTATATGTCAGAGCTTTTGAAAAAATCAGAGCATAGGAGATGAATAATGTTAGGAATTAAAACATGTCTGTCTAAGATCTGCAGCTTTTGTCTGAGCCTCAGTTTGATACTGAGATCCACGGGTTTTTTCCTCAGCAGCTGAGCTGGACTCTGCGTTTATATCACAAACATGTGTCTAAGAATCTTTGCACACACAGTGGCAATTCACTGACTTTTATTTTGTAGATGTTTTTGCCTTTAAGGAGTAATTTTCTGAACTGCAGCGACATTGTGCTTTCTTTGTCAGTTCCACCACTTCCTCTCCCTCTCTCTGAAGTGTTTGATTTGGGACAGATGTGTGTCTGCCATGTGTATTTGATATTTTATACAGAGTCACTCCAGACCACTGTGTGCAGTCTGAGTGTGAGAAAACTTCACCAAAGCCTTCAGAAGCTCCCCTTTCCCCTTTAGAGGTCACGACTTGTTGAAAATACCACAATCTGGCTACAGTTTAGGTCACAAAGGGTGCTGGGGTTTCGGTTTGGAAAATTCACTGTAATCCCACTTACACTTGTGTCAGTGAGCATTATGTAAAAAGTAGTCACAGTTGATGTATTCAGAGGTGGAGACCTTGTGCTGTAATTTGATTTGGAGCACTGCAGGCGGTGGCAGCCAGCGTGGACTTTAGATCAGTGCAGGTTTGTGGCTTGGCCCGACTCGGCACGGCGAGACATCAAAGGAGATTGAACCTGTGTCCCGCTGGGAAGCTAATCTGGGATTAGCCTGCTGTGATCGGGACCTAGGAGCACAAGGTAATGAGGAGGAGATGGGGACAAGTGCTTTAAAAAAAGAGACTGAGTTTAGCTGGGGCTGCCCCCCAACTAAGAATTTTCATAGTCGACCAATAGTCATCATTTAGGGCCACTAGTCAACTAGTCGCCCGCATGTTTACGATATTAATTTGATGTATTAAATGATATATTTTGGTGGTTTGAGTTGAAGGTGTGAGAAAGAATAGTATCAGTAACATTGTTAACACTGTGCTACATTACAGAGAAATACAAAACCGTACTAATGAACCTTCATTAATATAGGCCTATATTTTATCTACAAGTGCACGTCACACACTGAGCGAGCCGCCTGTTACTGACGCTGTGGGCTAATGGTCATGTAGCTACTTCCATGTTTCAGATGATACGTCATGTTTGTAGTCGACCAATGAAGATGAGTTTACATATCACCTTGGGTTCGTCCTTCACCTTCTCAAAATGATCCCACACTTTGGATTTCCTGCCCGACATGTTATTAACTAGCCTGTGGAATAACCGCAGGTACCAGCCCTGGAAATTAACCTGACTCCTGTCTGACTGCTGAGCATGGACACTTCCTGTGTCTGTCCTTTCAAATTAAAGTCCCACATGATCCAGTCATATTGGTTTTGATTTATTCCGACAAGGCACACCTCCTAATAGTTTGTTTTTCTGCGACTAAGCAACCAATGAAATCTGGTCGACTAATGTTTGCTCAATTATCAGGAAGCAGCCCTAGTTTTAGCCAAACAAACATTTCTCAGAGGTTAAAATTTGGTTGAGTCTAACCTTCAGTAACCAGGTGGAGCTAAAGCCTTATTTAATAGGTCAACAGTTTTGTTTACAGTCAGTGTTTGTCACCAAAACACACAGGTGTTTGTGTATGCTGAGCAAACCCACTGACGCAAAAAGGGGACCCACTTATCAAAACATTGCTCTGTGGTATCACTAGTGGTCCAAAACTCCACAGTGTATCTTTAAGGGCAAGTCTGATCAGCATTTTTTTGTTGATGCTGCTTTTGTTTTTTCCCAACCGAATGTTTCACTCCTGTGTCAGAGAAAAAGTCACACAAGAATGAATGTTGTCATTCCTGACAGTATCATGAAATACAGTCTCAAAATTCACCAGAAAACTGAACACCTTTCTGACAGCAGGGGTTTCATAAACATTGTATTATATTGCGGGGCTGTCGTTTTGCATTTGGACAGACTTTTCTATTATTTTGTAATGCTTAAAGAATTATTTATGAATTTACGCATTACTTATTCAGCAATTCTTTGATAATTGACTCTTCGCTAAGTCCCGGCCCCTGATGCAGATTGGCCAATCATAAGTCTACTAAGAAATCTGGACCCTGTGGCTGAACCAGTTGGGAACCACTGAATTTCAGTATAGATAATCTCTGAGAAGGCTCTGTTGCAAACAGTAAATATTGATTCATAATTATGTTAAGCTTATCTACGTCTTTGCAGTCAGTGGTTAGGTTCACTGCTATCAAATGTTCTGTGCCACCAGCCTCACACAGGATGTGTGTGTACAGTTAGCCCACACCTTCTGCTAAACACAGGAAGTGGTTAAAACAAGACATCATGCCATTGCCCTGCTCTGTCAGATAATAATACAGGCACTTAGCCTAGGAGTGTAAGATTATTCCTGTGTTGATACATTCCTGCTTCCCACCTGAATAAAAGAAATAATATTTATCAGTTAAATCTTTAGGAACAGTCCGCTATGTGAAGAAAATAAACTCAAACCTGCTCTCCTAAAATTACTGCAGATCATAACGTGAGCCCAGTTATGATCCATCTCATTAAGCTTCCTTATAAATAGTTTTTGAGAGTCTATCTGTCTCTATTTTTTTGATGGCATGCTGTTACTCTGCAAACAACCGTGTCAGGGTGGAGTTACAGGAACTCTCTCCAAACAAAAACCTCTTTGGTAAATATTCCCTGAGCTGTGAGAAACTGGCAGCGGCAGCACTCTGTCTGTGCTGCTGTGGTTTTGAATCAGAACCAGTTGGACCAATACGTGTGCTGGACTGGACTCCACTCTGCAAACTCAGTGTTTACTTAATTAATCACCACTTATGCTGCATGAGATGAGGTACATCCATATGGTGTTACTTTGGTTTATTCAGGATGAAGTGATGTGTGGAAAATGAGTATCGTTAAGATGTAGACTTTTCAGGAGGGAAGGAAAGCAGCATGTTAGAGTTTGTATAAAGGTGTTTGAAAGAGTTTCATAAGTCCCAGAATGGTCAAATTCTATTTTGGAAGTATTTCAGAGGACCACCTGCATGTCATAATTTGGCTGAGGGTTCTTGACGTTGTTGCTCAATACAACATATATTATTCGACAACAGTGTGAATTTTACGTTGAATGTTGCTTAATGCTGACTGGCTAATTTTGGCGTGAGATGGATCTTCTCTGGTTGTGTTAAAATAAAAAAACATATTGTAAAGACACTCCCTCATTGTTCTTCACATTCTAAATTTCCTGCCACATGTTAGTGTTTTAAAAGTGTAGTTATTAATAGCACGTGTAAACATTGCATGCTTGATGGGTTCAACATGCAAATGTATCGAGCTTGACATCCTGTTGAATTCAATTAAAGCCCCCTGGTGTTGTGCCCAAGAAACTAGTAGTTGGTATTTTATTTGTGCTCAGGAATCTATAAAGAACCATGAAAAGATTTTTCCTTAATGGGCCAGTGATAGTACAAAAGTAAAAGAACAATAACTGTGGAAATGTTAGATCACTTCTTATTCTCAATATGTGTACACATACAAACACTTCATTGCATGAAGAACTTAGAAAATGGAAAGATAATACATAAGGTAATGTCTTAACATAGCATATCACAAAAATGTAATGAAAAAAAAAGCATTGGTTTAATATGCCATTAAAAAGAAATGTCCGTACAGTATGCCACAACAAGGTTCATTAAATATGTTATAATGTAGTATGTCAAAAAAAGTAAAAGAAAAAAGAAAAAGTCCTATTACTGTCTAGTAAAGGATTTTAAAAAAGTATATCATGATATATCATATCATGTCGCTCAAAAGTGATCAAAAAATGTCATAGTATAGTATGTCGCTCAAAACTAATAAAAAATGTCATAGTATACTATGTTGCCAGGATCTGAAAAAAATTGTCATAGTATGGTATGTCACTCAAATGTGATAAAAAAATGTCATAGTATAGCATGTCGCTCAAATGTGATAAAAAAAAAAAAAAGTCATAGTATGTCGCTCAAAACTGATAAAAAATGCCATAGTATAGCATGTCGCTCAAATGTGATAAAAAATGTCATGTCGCCAAAATGTGATAAAAACTGTCATAGTATAGTATGTCGCCAGGATCTGAAAAAAATCGTCATTATAACATGTCGCTCAAAAGTGATAAAAAAATGTCATAGTATAGTATGTC